TTTGGGAAATACAAACTAACAATGCTAACAGGGCACTGGAAATCAGTAAGAAAAGCATCTTGGGGAGCTAGTGTCCCCTAAAATCCATCTTTGGGATTTTTGTGAAGTAAACTAGATTAAGGTGACTGAATCATGTAGAAATATTTTTTCTATCAAAATTAGAGTATCATTTACTCTGTGCTTCATAATTTTTTCTATTAAATAACAATTATGATGTCGAACAGTACAGTACAGGAAGAAACTCCAAATTTTATACAATAATGTCTTAAGAATATTTTGTCCAATAGGTTGCTTGTACCATACAAATTTAAAGGAACATCTGTGTTCAATTTTCAGTAAATGTGGTAAAATGTTCATAAGCAGGACTGGAGAAGGATATATGGTCATTCTTGATTTTGGGTATTTGGAGTATGGTGCTTAATGCCCATCAGTTATATACCTGTGTGAAAACCAAATGATGATTGGAAAAATGGATATTCAGTATTTCTGAGGGCAGAATACAAAAGGAGAAGCTGACAAACTGAACAATTTTTTCATAATCATCTTAGAATCTAATTCAAAGTAGCAATTAAATTCTGAATATTTATAAGAAAACGAAGCATTTTACATGAGCACTTTTAGTTTATTGCAATTTCAAGTCCATGTTGGGTTATTTAGTCTTAAAGATTTTCTCATGGGTGTCCAAAATCAGTTTATTTACTTCCAAATACTTACCAATTAGAAAAAGGCACATGTTTACTTGAGTGACTTAAAAGATACTGATACTAAAAAAGGTGTTTGTTATTATTTTCAATAATCATGTTTAATTTTAGGTCAGTATCACATCAAAAATGTGAAACTGACTAACTTCTCCTATTTCTGTCCTCTATCCCCAAATCTGTATTTTATGCTACTATTAGAAAAGATAATCTAGAACTCAATTCTGATCATGTAGCTCCTCACTATTCAAGGAATGAAGGTTATATTCTTGACTTGATTTCTTTGTCCTTCTGTTTTACCCACATGGCAAACCCAACTATTCTTATACCTACAGGACCTCCCACTAGGGTCCAAGTTTATATCCTTGCAGCTGAGATAAAACCCACACAGCCATACAATGCTGTATTTCTCAAGAGAGTTTATTTCAAACTCTATCCATATTTCCCAACACCCAATTCTCCCATACTTACTATTAGAGCACCTCTAAAGTCCTAGCAGATGAACTCTAATATCTCAACATTCTATTAATTACTGATTTACTTCCCTACATATCATTCCCATTATTCTCTCAAGAGAAAAGTGAACCTTCTGGCCATGACTAATCTCCAGCAATGCCCCAGGTCCTCTCCCTGGTAATCAACTTGGTGGTGTCTCTTCTTTCCTACTGCTTGCCATCACATTTTTGAATAGTCAACCTTTTCCCCATTGGCTTTTTCCCAGTGACCCCCTAAACATTTTTTTTTAAACCCACTTTCAACACCATCTTACTCCAGTAACCTTTCTATCTCCTCTCCATTTGTAGCCATTTATATTTTTTTTGTGCTAATTTTCTTCATTTCCTCTTTCTCCATTTAATTATAAAGTTCTGAATTAGACTTTGGGGTTCTGCTAAATCAACTAAGCTAATCCCTTGATTCAGTGAAACTGCTTCAGTCTCATCTCAACAACTCACATTCCCTTCTTAAAACATTTCCCTTTAACTCTCTTCTAGGATTTCCTCCTTTACTTCTTAACTATTCTCCTTAGTCTCCTTTCGCATACGTCTTTTTTTCTTCCCTTCACACTTGGAGCTCTGAGATCCTAGGTTCTTTTAATATTACACTCAGTAATGTCTTCTATTGATGTAACTTAAATTTTTCTGACTCCAGATTTTCCAGCTTAGCTCAGGCCTCTTTCCTAACCCACAACACCTGCTTCCCAAATGTCATTTCTTGGATATTGCACTAGATACTTCAAATCTCTTATGTCTAAAACTGAATCCTCTGAGGGTTCTCTTATATCTATCTCACTTAATGTTGATCTCCCCAGATGATCAAGATAAGAACCTAGATGCTATCCTTTATTTCTCTACTCTGTAAAACATTCTATTTTACTTCACAGATCTTTCTCGAATTTATTCTTTTCCATTACTCCTACTATTAGGGATTCAAACATTTTTTTTTCATTAACTAATGTTAACCTCAAAATTTGGAACATGTTTCCCTCAGTAGCTTTTCTTTTATCATTCCCCACTCTCAAACTCAACCAATCCATGATTCCTATTTTATATCTCAGCTCTGATAAATCACTCAATTCTCCAAAAAGCCTACTCTCTTGTATCACCTAAATTTTCCACAAGCAGCTTACTCTGCCTGAAAACCTCCTTCTACCAGCTTTTCATATTTGGGCATCCTTTGTTTCCACTTATGTGATAACGTATAAATCTTTGCATTCAGTTTTCCTTACATGTTCCTACAGTTCACCTCTCTCTGGTCATAAGACCCATCCTCCTACTGGAACTGGCTATTCATTTTTCTCTCCCCCATGAGACACTAAGCTCCAGAAGAACAAAAACCATGACTAACCATGTATTCCCTTAAAATATGCAATATCCTGCAAAAGTCATGAAGTACACTCTATTTATTGGATAAATAAATATTCTGGGTCTTGTTTTCTCACTTAGAAAAAATTCCAAACCTTCCATTGTGACTAAAAGTGTATTGCAGGCATTCATTAAATATTTGTTAAACTAAGAATAGGATGGAATTTCATTTTTCTTTCTCCTCTCCATGTCTATGCTTGATAAAGAGCAGTACAAACGTAGTAAAATAGAAATCTAAAAACTCCTATGTATTAAACTATATCTGAACAGTTAACAAAAATGCATAAAATAAGACATTCATGGTAGAAACAAAACTTTTCACCAACAGAAATATTTCAAAATTCATTATATACATTATCCTAGGAAATTTTCTAGAAAAGTCCCATTGTTAAAATTTTATCTATTAAGTTTTCATTTGCTATTATTCTACAAAGAAGAAAATCACACATAAAACTAATAATGATCTTTAGTGTCATTCCCAAAAGGTCAAAAAGAAGTATGGAATACCAACAATAATGAGAAAAAAATAATATTATAAAAAACACTTAAAACTCAGATAGATATAACGAATATTGCCATAAATACAACCGTATAAAAATAATGTCCTTGTTGATTAAAAAAAGAATGTTAAAAAATAAAAAAGGAAAGTTATCAGTAAAAGATAAATAAAACTTTAAGCAGAACAGGAATTAGTAATAGTAATTTTTAAAATAAGATGAAAAACAATTTTTTTAAATACCCAAAAAGAACTTTGAAATTAATTTCAAAAAGTCATAATTAGACAGCTTCAATCTTACTTCTTTAGGATGGGATCATATTTAGTGGGGTAAAAATCAGATTAAAATGAATTTTATATATAATAATTAGGAAGATACAATGCTTAAGAGGCTGAAAGGATAAAATACGGTTCTGTTGTAAAGTGAATTAAAGTAAATTACCTTTGGTAAACTATAACAGCATGAAATGAGGATGATATAGAACATTAAAATGAAACTTTACACTTTATTCTTCAAAAAATACACACATTTTTAGGTGAATTATAAGCTTCTTCCAAAAATCACCAATCAGGTTTTTTCCCTGACATGGTATTTTCTATAATGTCATTTTTAGTTACTTTGAGGACAAGAAACAAAGATCATTCTCTCAATTTTGATTTATTTTTCCTAATGGAGTTCTTATTTTGACTATCTTTGACATTTTAATCACTGTATGTTAAATATTTGAAATTTTAATCAATACATACTAGATATTACTGAAAAAGGTATTTTAAAGTTACTCAGTTAAATAAATGAATTTTTAGGCCCATAAAAGTCATTAACCTATTAAAGAATTTAATTCTTCTTTTAATAATTTTAATATAAGATCCATACTACTTAGTTTAGCTTTTAAAAAAGTTTTAAGTAGGTAATCAGAAAAAAAAGCCACCAATACTTCCTCAACCCCCAAAACACACCACTAAAATATACAATGTAAAGTATTCTTAAATTTCCAAATGTAGCCTGGAATTCTTTCATGGCAAAGAAGTCATCAGTAAGCATTCACATACTTCTAAATATCCTGCATTGTCCAGCACTTATTAATAAGCAGAGATGAAAATGGTCATATTGGCAACTAGTGTCCCTATCATACTTGTGCTAGGTTCCAAAGGTCAAAAGGTGCCCTGAAGCACTAATACCAGGTCAGTATAACTGAATAAGGAATATATTACTTGTTCAAGTGATTTGTTTGTATTCTCAATGTAGCATGAATCCTAACATGCATATGACTCTTCTTCTCTTACTAGGCTGTGGAAAGAACTTCTCATCTTTCTATTAATGAAAATGAGCTCAATGTCTGATATTCAACATGTTTGCTAATTTATTGAAAAATATTGTTCCTATATTTTTAAAACAAGCAGTCTTAAATAAAGTAAGTTCCAAAACAGTACCAAATGGCATAACAACTTGATGGTGAATTGGAGACTGGTAGCCTAGGATTACAATACATTATAATCAACGAGAGTTTTTACTTTATCCTGCAAGATCTAATAGCTGTTATTTATTAAGAGAATATATATATTAACATACACTGTAGCAAATTTTTAGTTATATGGTCATATTAATCTGGCAAACTGGTTTCTGATTTTATATTAGATCAAAAGCAAAAGTAGACAATATAACTTTTCTACTAATAATATATTGTAAAGAAGCTTCTATGTCTCTACTAAATATATCAGTATGTGTTTGAAATCCCAGGTATATCATTAATGGGGGAAATGCATTGAAACATTTGGCAGCACCTAACTTCATGAGTTTCATACTAGGTGCCAAGAAATTAGGTTGTCCAAGTATTTTAGAAACAAATTAGAATGGAATCTGCTGTTTCTTTTCTACCTGCTAATTTCACACTTTACTCAAGGCACCTAAAATGAAACTTTAAAATTAAGGAGAGAAAAACTTACCTAGTTGGGATTTTGAAAAATAGTTTGCCATTTGTCCACTGTTGTAAGACTGTCGTTTATGTCTTTTTGTTGACAATTCTGTGGTCTTCCATGGTGGTCTTTTTCTTTTGTTCAGTTTGCTAAGAACTTGAGAACTATCAGAAGGATTCTTGTCAAAATTAACACATTTACTTAACTTACTGTTGCCAAGTTGGTCAGCAAATTTATCAGGTAAGGGACTATTTGCTTTAGTATTTTCTATTTCTTTAGCTTGCTTTTTAAAAGAATTTTGCCTAGCAGAATGGGATCTTAAAGTACAGCGCTTTGATTCATCTACATGTGTCAGATGTTTACTTCCACTGTCAACAGATTCAGGAGAGTAAATGATTGTATTTAGCTTAAAAGTATTTCTGTGTTCAAGATAATTGATCTTCCTCAAAAATATTCTACAATCTTTCAAGGTTTTTGACCTCCAATTATTTGGACATACATTTCCTAGTCTCTTTTCAAAATCTCTTTGGCTGCAGTTTGTTCCATTCTCCTTTGCTTCTGACTGAAATTTATTCTCTAAACTAGCATGTGTTTTGAAGTCAGGCATTGCCACCTTCTCTTGCAAAAAGTCATCCCTGATCTCAGGTGGCAAAATACACTGATTACCTACTGCGCTTTTCCCTCGGAGTGGGATGTCAGCATTTGTTCCCCCCTCAGTCTTATTTAAAAACTGGTTCTGGCAGAAAAATCTTAAGTTCCTCCTTTTAGAGTTCCAATCAACTGTTCCAAGATTGTGCAGCTTTCCCTCTCTTCTCCACCTTTCATGGTGCAACCTCTTAAACTCAGTCCTTTTCAATCTAGCTAGTGTTAAATTACTTTTCACATTTAAGAGTGGAGAACTAACCATCTTATGCAGTATATGCAACTTCCCTGATTTTGAAGGAGAAGAGAGTGCAAATTTTTTAAAGTGCTTTCTAAAGGGGTTGGTATTAAAATCACAATATTTGGCCCCTAATTTAATTCCCTTGGTATTTATTACTTCCAAAGGATTCCGAGCATTTGCTTTTCTAACTAGTGAAAGAGACTGTGTTTCTGTTGACTGCATAAACCAGGTACACAGTTCTTTCAAATCATACTTTTTCTGAAAAAGCATTTTTACAGGTGAAACTTCAAGTTCTAAAAGACAAGTCTCCAATGGCTTGGCTACTTTGAAATTATTGTTTTCAATGTATTCTTTCTTTTTATGAGCAAAACTTTCAGCTTCATCTCCACTTACTCGCACCCAAGCATTTGTAATTTGCTCAAATCTATTGTTTAATTCCTCTAATAAGGAATCGCTTGAAGTAGAAGTAGCCCACCACCTGAGCAAAGAGTTTGATGAAATTATAGGGTCCAAGGATACTTCAGAAATGGGCATTAATTTGTTATCTTCCAAACACTGTTTTGCTTTCTTTGCATGTCTAGTTCCTGGGTTATCTTTGGAACTTATTTTTATCCTTGACTGGGCATGTTTTTTCTTCTGATTTTTGCCTTTCTGCCTATGGGGTTTATATGATTTATGAAGCAGAGCATTTCTATAAATAAGTGAGCTAGAAGATGCTAATGAATGCAAGAAATGCAGAGATGGTTTTCTGTTCCTAATAGAATGTCTCAAAGGTAGAGTAGCGACCATACTTTTTGATCCATTTTTAAATATGTCAGCTTCAGTGTGCCTTGTTTTATCCATATTATTGCATTCTTGGTCATGCATTTCTTCAGGCAGAGATTTTTCTAATATATTCTCCTGTTCTAAAGGAGGTAAGCAGCTGCTAATACTTACTTCTCTTTCCTGAGGTGAAACTCTATTAATAGTCACAGATATGCCAGAGATTTTAACTTTCGCAGGTCTACCAGGTTTCCTAATTATTGCCAAAGGTTTCTGATTTGGTCGAATAATGTTCTTAGGAGGCTGAGGTACCACACACTTGTTCTTGACAGGTCTAACATGCTCAAAGCCAGACCCCAAGGCTTCTCCTTGAGCAGTCAAACTTGATACAGCACTTACTCTTTTACTCAAGTCAATTTCATGTTCTCTAGTATTTCTAAGACTGTTATATTCAGTGGGAAAATCATCAATATTATTGTTTAATGACATAATATTGCTGTTTACACTTCCTTCGGAAACATGCCTTTTAGTTCTTCTTGACCTTCCATAAATAACAGTTACAGTAATACTCTTTTTATAAATACCCTCTTTTACTTCTGATATGAGAGATTCTGGGCTCTTCCTCTCAGCACTAAAGGATTCATTTTGGCAAATGGTGATGTCTGTTTGATCAGTTTTAGGTTTTGGCGGTCTTCCAATTGGTCGTTTAATCTGTTTCACAACTTGGGGACCTATTTTTTTAGGTCTACCTGGTTTTCTTTTAAAAGATGAATCAACAGCACTGCTTGAATTTCCCTTAGATTCTTCTTGTGGTTTATCCCTATTCAGATCATCTGTAAACACTGCAGAAGATTCTGCAGATTCTTTTACACAATTGCATTTGTTTAGTTCTCTTTGAAGAGAATCAGTATCATGATTAAAATTGTAATTTTCAAACCTAGCATTTGGGATATCCTCATTTGCTTCTGCGTTTTTTCCAATCACGTGATGCGTTACATGTTTCTCGGAAGGAATATCAGCATTTGATTGCGAGGTACCAACTGAGGTCAATGTATATTTGACTCCTTCACTACTTTTAATCTCTGATAAAAACATGAGTTTGATAGGACTAGAATAGTTAGAAAAAGAAGAGCTTTCAATACCTTTACACTTTGTTGGTACATTTTCAAAACCAGAAATCAAACTATCTGTATCTAAAATAGAAGACTTCTTCTGATTATCAAGTCTTTTGTTATTCAAGTCCATTGGAGGTATCTGTGGACTTTGGATAACACTGCTTAATGACACTGCAGATTTTGATAAACCCTGCCCTTGGCATGTCATTCTGCTTAAAATAGGAGACTTCTCTCGCTCAACATTTTGGTCTTTATCATCAATTTCTATCAATTTCTTAGAAACTTTATATCCTTCTGATAACGGCCCATTATTCCAAGACTTTTTGGCCATACTTATTGTATCTTCCAAACGCTCCACGACAACTTGTAAATTCGAATTCATTGCAATCTTGCTTAGATCTATATTCTGTGAGTTTTCAACCTGAATATTTTTCACTGCATCTTTTTTATGTGTGGAATCAGACACTCTTTTGGCCTTAGGGGATTTTTTGAAAACATAATTGTTCGTTACATATATAGAATACCACCCTGGAGGTACAATATTTCGTTTAGTTCTGTTCAAAACTCCATCACTTCTCAAAGGAGTTTGAGTACTCTCTAATTTTGGATTCTCCCCGTTATTTTTTCCAGCTGAAAATTTCTCCTGTGATTTTCTTATGCTTATTTTATCTGCTAAAGTTGTTTTATTAAAGTTTTCTGAAATTTCATCAAAAGCTGAGTTAGTTTCTATACTATGAAGAGGTAGTTCCAATGACTGAAGAGTATAATTTGGTGGACATGTTTCTGCATGATTTTTATCTTGAAAGCATTTAGAATTTTGTAAAGGCAGCACTTGGCAATGATGCAATTCTTCCTTGTCTGATGAAAATATCTCATCATTGTGCATCAATTTCCTTGAATTTTTTTCATTGTATTTTTTCCTCATAAAATTTCCATCAAGACTAGCAAGTTCTCTTTTGATCTGTAAAGACTGCCTTCTAATGATTGGTGAATCAGGAGAGTTATGCATTGCAAGTAAAGTTTGTTGACGCTTTCGAAATCTTGTCTGAATAATTTTATTTTCTACCTTTTTATCATGTTGACTGAGTAATTCCATAAAACTATAATCACTGGCCTTTGCATTATGCAAGAGAGATGTTATTAAATTCCCCAATTTAAAATCATTATCTGTATTACAATCATTGCTAGATAATTTTACAAGATTTGTAATATCTGTGGTTTCTATTGATTTTAATTTTTCATTAATGCGATCCATTAAATCTTGAAAAATTACAGCAGTTTCACCTTTTTCATAATTTGGAGTACAATTACCACTGGCATCCGAGAATAAAGAATCAGAGTTACTGGATTTTTTAGTTTTATGTATTTTGACTTCATGGTCACCCTTGTTGCTGCTTATTTCTGCTGGTGTTAGAGATGGAGGCTGGTTAGTACTTGTTTCAAGTTTGTTATTTTCTAAGGCTGAAAGCTCTGAGATGACATCTTTCAGTTTTTCAAACCCTTCAGTCTGCACAGGTGATAATGGTGGGGGTGAGGGACTTCGAGATCTACACACATCTTTAAGATTGACTGAAAGATCACATACTTCCCTTGACAAAAGAGGACCATGAAAGGCTGATTTTGTAGAGTGAATGTTTGGTAACAGTCCAGAACAGCACCTGTGAGAATTGTAAGTATCTGCAATTCCTCTATTCATTACTGTTGTAATGTGTTCAATAGTTACAGTTTGGCAAGATAAACAATGTAATTCCTTAATACAGACTGGCAGAGGCACCAAACCTGGGCTTTGTCTTTCATTTGGTAAACACCCTCTTTCTGCCAGTCTATATTCACAACTACAGAACAGACCATGTAAATCATCTTCAAATAGAGGCTTTTGAGATTCTGAAGACACAGCACATGATGTATTACAACAGCAAAGAGAAGTAGCATTCTGCTCTTGGACTAGAAATTTCAACATAGCCAAAACTTGTTGCTGGTGATGTATGCACAAAGATTCCAAAACTTTGCTTAATGCTGATTTTCCTTTTTCCATTTTAGTAGCTTCCTCTGAATTTGCATCAACAGTTGAACTAAAAATAAAAATCAAACAAAAAAATGAATTACAGTAAAAACACCACGATAAGGAGTTATAATTTTGACAGAGTTTGAATAAGATATTTTGGTACTGCTGGACTCCTTCCTGACACCTACAGAGCTGCAATAATGACATCTTGATTATTGTTTAGCAAAAATATAAGGAAGCACAAATAACATAATGTCCAATGACAAAAGTATAGGAGTCAATGCAAAGCCCTATTTTTGCAATATAAAAACTGATAATTATACTTATATTTACATACTGGTAATATTTAGTGTTTTGGATATATTAACATTTAATGTAAAGAATTGAGAAGGAGTTAAAATTTTTGTAAAGTACACATTCTGTGAGTTATTTTGACAATTATCTATGTTAGTGAAAATAAGGAAAATAAAATGTAGGAATATAATCTTATCTTTATTTAAAATATTTTTTCAAATGCTAAAAATGAAATTGTTAAGAAAAGAGAGCTATGTAGAGTTACAAGGAAAATTAAGGAATTTAGATTTAATGTAAGTAACAAAATGTCTTTTCTGAGATTAAGCTGCATTTTTGCCTAATAAAAAAATAAACAACTGGAAGCTATTTATAAATTAAATCTATTTTTAACTGATTTAAATACTACAGTAATTAAAGGAAAACTAAAGGCATTACTTACCTAATTATTAAGTTTCAAATGCAGGAAAATGCCCACTGCAGAAACTAATATACATCTAAGCTTAATGCCCAAATTGCTTATCAATTAATATAAGTCTATGAAAAAAATCTTTTTAATCTAATACCAGCAGCAAGAAGAGTAAATGTATTAAAAGAATTCTGTTTCAGAAAAGTATCTATTTTTATTAAACATATCACCAAACTCTGTACATGAAAATAACCTTTCTTTTGTGATTTGTTATGTATGTAGTTAAATTCCTGATTTATACAAATTTTATTTAGGGTTGGTATAGGGATATACTGATAGTGTTCCAACTGAAGAATGCAGTGTTTTAAATAAAAAATTATTATGTTGGTGTATTAATACAAACTAAAGAATTTTTCTTTTAAAACAAAAGGTGGAATTAGTATTATTTTGCTCCCTAAAACTGGCATAACCTATTTCACAGGTAAATGTGCAATATTTCATTTAGATTTTATTAAAATAATTTGCTATAAAAAAGCCATCAAAGTGATGAGAGATGTGAATTACAATAAAACTTCTTATGTCTACTGCTGCCTCCAGATAAATAAAGCATATAACCTCAGATTCTGAATTTTCATTCTGTAAATAATTTGCTTTGTAAATTGTGTCATATTTGAATTGTACAATGGAATTGACTCTCAGGATTTAAAACAGAAAGTTCAAAACAAGCGCAAAAGCATGAGGAAATGATAGGTATTAAATATTGATATACTCTTATCTAGCAAACTAAAACTTTGTCATAAAAGCACAAGAAAACCCAAAATATCCTAAAAGATGCACTTCAACAGTTTCTAAAGCCACGTTATGTAGCCTATTAATCCTGTTTGTTAACTAATAATGAAAGGGAGGATGTTTGTTAGAAAAATACATTGCTCTGTATCTTAAAGATGAACATCCTTTTGTAACAGTTCCTGAAATGCTCCAAGGCATTTTTCTATTAATGAAGTTAAATACAAAGCTGAAATAATTTGGGGCTGTGGTTAGTAGAATGTGAACTTAGCATGCATGAGGCCCTGGGTTCAATTCCCAGCATCAGAAATAAGTATGTCCTTAAAAAGTAGGAACAATCAAAATGAACAACTAGGGTTAAGTAATCTAAATAAAAATTATAATTTCAATTTCATTAAACTCCAAACATTATGAAAACCACTGATTTTTTATAACCATTTTCTGACATTCCAAGGAAATCTATGCTTTAGAAGTAGAATTTTCTAATTCAGCTCATTCCTTTTAGTGATGCAAATTCATATACCCCGGTGGCCAATAATTTCCATCTGGTGTCTTATTAAGAATAGCTTTATACAGGTACCCATTAGATATTCAGATATTAGGCTGTATCTTATATTATCAGGGTGAATAAGTTTTCAAATTATAGAACTCTCCAATATACTTATTTGGCTTTAGTTTTTTTCTTTTCCTGGTTTCTTCCATCTCAAAGAAAAACCTAATATGAGTAAGTTGAATATACACAAAAGTCATCAATCTACAATTTTTTTCCCAAGTGATTAGAGGCCCTAAACTTATATTTTTCATAGAGCCCAGGTTGTTCTTCATGTCAAAATTTCTTCTAACTTTTCCCTGTTTGACATATAAATGAAAACATCCTGCCTACGTTATGTTACTACCCATTTTTCCATTAGAAATTTATTTTTGAAATATTTCTTCAGAAAAAGTCAATTTCTAATTTTAATAAAAATCCCTTCCTACAGGGAATCAAAGAAGTCAGTATAGTCAGATTTTTCTTTTGTTTTTCTTTTCTTTCTTTTACTGAATGAGTAAATCAATCACACACCAACAGTGTTGTAAATTTAAGTGCAAAAGCATTGAAGTGCTTTACTACAAATTACAACCTAGAAACACGTTAACTGAACAATTAAAATTCATACAATCAGATTTAGATATATAACAACACAAAGTAGGAACAGAATTACAGTACATTTACAACACAAGACAGATACATGAATTCATTAGAAAATATTGTAATAAATAATTCATGAATTATAGTGCAATTGATTTATGCATAAATATAACTAATTGCCTAACAATCAGTTTATATTAACAAAATCTGTCAAAATCAAGGCAGCCACAGAGTTTTACTAAATTACTGCGACAATGGAAATACTGCAATTAAAAAACAAATACAAGTATTTGTACTGTAAACAACTAAAAAAATCAGTCTCACTAAAGTTAGTATACAATTTAATATAAAATTGTCATTAGCTACCAGAAATGGTTTAAACAACTTTACTGAGCAGTAGTTTTCTAAAAACAGAGGCACTGTTTTTTCTTTTCCTTCTTTTTTATTTTAAATATAAAATACTTGAGGAACATTCAAATAAGTAGAAAGCACATAAGGGTTGCTTTCACTTTCATTAAAAGTCTGCTGAAACTGGATTTTTCAGAAAATTGTCAATTAAGTAGTAACTGGTAACTAAATTTATAAAGTACTTTGAAAGTTTAACATAAAGAACATCTTACTAGAACCACTGGGGAGAAGGGGAACCCATAAATTTCCCTGCCTTTCCTAGTTTGTATAATCAAAAGTTAACTCAATAATAGAAACATTTTGTTTCTTTTAAGTTATGGGTTGATCATTACCTATAAACTATCAAAAAATATTTTAATTTACTATTTCTGACCAAAAATAAATAATACAAGTACTAAAATGCTGCAAATTAACTATAATATTACCTATAAAACTACTGATCACTGTGAAGTCAATAGCAAAATGATCCCTGATTTATGAATCCTGTAAAGTTTTTGGTCAGGTCATCTTTTAAATGATATAAAAGTGTTCTGTAAATTTCCCTTTACTATAAACTTCTCAATCAATTTATTAATGTAAATATAGTGTGAGGAATAAAAAAGCTCAATACAATATAAATATTATGTAATGCATTCGAGCCCCCAAAGTTTTGCAAGTAAAATTCTGTATAAAGAGGTCAATAAAATTGTTTTGAAACATTTACTTTAACTTTGTTTTTCAGTGGGGCGGGGAAGGGGAATATATTAAATAATCCAAGTCTGGCCCTCACAAAATATGGCTTAATTCTTTAAAAAGAAAGATGACCCTGACATCTGCTGTTTTGTAATCTATTATGTATATTTTCTGGGGGGTGGGGAGAGTAAGAGGATTCATACCCTAGTATGCAGGTGACATTAACAGCTGAAAAGAATTCACTACAGATCTCAGATACCAAATAGCTACTAGATTGTGTATTTCCTTACTCGTCAGTTACTTTAAATACATGTAAGCAGTTTTTAAATTTAATAGCTGAAAATCTCTTTAGTATTACATGTATATGTGATTATTAAATACACACAAACACAAGTGTAAAAACACAAGTATTTGACAAGGTGCACTCATTTTTTAAATTCAGCTGTAAGAATTCTGTTTGAACTTGAAAAATCTGACTTAGAAAAATGATCAGAACCTGAATTTTAACAGAGAAAAGGGGCACTCAGAATTTTTAATGTATAAAGCAAAATCCTCATTCTTTATATGGAGGCACATGCTTTATAACATTTTATCTCTAAAACTGCATACTCCATAAATCCAACATGAATACTCTGACCCATATTTTAAAACTGCTATATAAAAATTACTGGTCTCTTATGAGTCTAGTAAAAGTTAAAATGCACTGCCCAGCTTCTAACTACCCAATTAGTAGTGAGTTTACATTACTGAAAGTTCAAAACAGCTTCAGTGTTAAATATCTGTAAATCTATTCAAGACCCTGAACAAACTGCAAATTTGGTTATTAGCAAAATGATAATGTATCGCCCACCAAAATGAAATCTGTAATTCATTTTGATAAACTGAAAATGTTTTGAAATGTCACAGCAGCAAATATATTAAAGTTACACTGAGGTTTTTCAATAGTAGGAGTGTGTCACAATCCTTAAACTTTAAAGTAGTCATAACATCAACTAACCAGCACATTTAAACCAAAATTATCATTCTCAAGCTTTTTCTGTGCACATTATAAACATGCTCTAAGTTGCATTCCAACTTTCTTTTCTAACCTTACACATTAGCTTATTTTTCAAATGAAAAACAAAATTAAATTATTTTAATAATTAAATTTAAATTACTTTTTGTTCTTAGTATTCCATCTTATATTAAAAGATTCTATAGCTGCTGGGGTTAACTATGTGTCAGGTTTTTTTTTTTAAGTATATACCTTATAAACCCCAACTTCCTGCTAAATCAACTATTAAATGATAAATATTAAATTTCATTATACATATTTTTTAAGGTTTTCTTTCTATTCCTGGTGGATGCACTTGAGTGCATTTGTATTTTATAGAATGCACTGTAGTGTATTAATACTGTATATATTAATTTTTCTTAGCATGAAGATAGCTGTTTATTTAAACTTTGATTGGTTCTTTGACATACTTATAACAACTGTTAAGTATGTTATGTAAAATTGTTTACAAACTATTAATATCATATTACCATTATAAGATGGTTTCAACTGAATGGCTAGAATGTCCTTTCACCAATAAAAATGTTTCACTTGACAATTACTTGTTTTCCCACGCTTTATGCTATTGACTACTAAAGAAAACCTGAATTTCTTTCACCTATTTATACAAGGATTAAATACAAACTATCAGAATTAAGTAAGCAACTATATAATTCTGTCCACAGTGAAAACCCTGAATAAAACTTTTTTTTCAAAAGGCATGTAAGTGGTTTTTGAACTGTAAAATTTCATGTCTCCTGTCAAAGTGAGCATTTGTAATTCCCACATGTGTGTATGTAGACACACAAATACACACCTGTGCACACACACACACACGCACGCACACACACACACACACGTTTTCCTAACAAGTAGTCTACACAGGCTTGCTGTTTTTGCAGCTGCCAGTCCCTGAATCTGTCATGTTATATAACCCAGTGTCTGGTAATCGTAGTTTCTTCTTCGGAGGAGTCTTCAGTGTTCCAGATCTTTCTTTTACCTTGTATTCTAAAGTGCTGTGAGGTACCCCATAAATTCCTTGTGCTTTGGAAACACTCATTTTTCCACTCATTACCATTGCAATAGCCTCTTCCATTATTTCATGATCATATTGCCGATAGCGGCCACGTTTTTTTCTGGGCTGCTTATTATCTTTTCGATCCAATCCATCTTCAGTATTTTCAGAGTTTCCATCAACTGTTCCATTTTTAGAATTAAGACACAAAGGAGAGAGGTCCCCATGTAGAAAGTAAGAGTCAACACTTGAGTGAGTTACAGAACCAGAACATTCTATTTTGTTCTGTTTAGGGAGTATATTTTTCAGTTTTTGGAGCGCTGATCCTTCTAGGACTGAAGAGGTTTTGGAAACTTGATACATAACATCCAGCAGACCAGAACCGTCGGGTTGTGATTTTGAAACAGAACTTACTCGTAGCTGAGGAATTTTTAATTGTACAGTAGGATTTGAAGTTTCATATTGAAGGCTTTCATTTTTTTCTTTAAATTGAGTAACCATTTTCTGTAGAGTTAACTGATGGAGGTAACTGGAAGCTGTTGGGAATTTTAATTCTGAGGTTTCAAGTAGATTGAGTTTACTTTTTTCTGTGCGCTCTGCTTGAGCTCTTGCCCACAAGGCTACTTTTTGCAGCACTGCACAAGTTTCTTTACTGTCTTTATATGAGTAACTATCATTGAAATCTCGAGTTTTGTTTTTAAAAGATGCAGGCTTCCCTGCTGGTAAGGCTTCTAAGTGGAGAAGTAAAGTTTTTTGAGGTATGCCATAAAGTATGCCTGCTTTATTTATGTCCAGTGCTCCAGACTGAATGTCTTTCAAAGCTTTTGAGAGCAAACCATCTGCAAACTCAGCACTTCTTTCCACATAGTCCTCTCTGTTTCTGTGTAGTCTCCTGGATGGATGGAATGAAACGATGGTAAACTGATGCATGAGAGACTCTCACACAGCTATGGAAGGGGAGGGTCCACTCCTTTATTATACTCCTTGCTTAGGTAACATCACTGCTTATGACACTTTTAAGTCTGTGAGATGTGGTAGTTACTCCTTATCAAAGCAAACGTTACAGTCCTGGTAGGACAATGTGTCAATGATACGGTGGCCTCAAGGGGCAGACCTTCCAAGAACATAAAATCCTAACTCAGTATTTGTAAAAATATTCTCATGATGTTGCTATTCCTCTGAAAGATGCTTGCAGAGCAACACTTATAATTTTTATTTGTACAATTAGAGTTCCATTATAAAAAAAATACCCAAATCCTAAAGGAGTTTTTGTTAGTAGAAACGTGACGTTACCGCTAAACAAGTAATAAAAGAGTCAACCCATTTAAAGGAAATTTGTAGCAGCAAGAATATTTCCAAACACAAACATCCCCTATTTCCACAAGACTAATTTTCCTCTAGACAAAAACTTAAAATTTGAAACGAGGTGTATTTGAATAAAATACTTTTCTTTTTAGACACTATGAGTTATTTCTAGTATAAATGTTTCAGGTAATTTTCAGTTTCTAACAGAAAGCTTATAATCTATTTTATGACTCAAACACTACAGCAGCCTTATTTGAAACAAATGACACTCTACATCTCAGATTTAAATGTGACCAAAAAAGCTTCCTATGTAGTTAATGGGAAGATGTGAAAGTTACAAAACAAGGAAAAAAATCCAAAAGTCCAACAGAACAGCATTTCACTAGTATTTATTTCAATTTATTCAATGACAGCTTTCAAAACATGAAAGGATTTTTCATGGTGACTACTAGATATATTAAATCATTTGCCACCACATCTAAAGCATAATAAAAAAAATATAAACACTATAAACTAGCTTTAAGAATTAGTAAGTATAGTACTTTTAGAATTTGTTCATTGTTTTTAAAAAATTAAATATTGAAATCACATATTTCCCTTAAAACTGCCTCCTGAATTTTTAATGTAAAGTTATCTTACTTGTCCTGCTTCTTAGGTTGCATTCTATGATTAAGCTGATAGTTCATTTTAGTAACATGAACTAAAGTTTGGTGATTGTTCTGATAACTTTTCTTTAACAGAAAGAATAAAAAAGAAAGAGAAAGGACAAATGAAAGGTATGAGAGAGACACACTTATGAGTGACAAAAATTCTGGAGGAAAACTATGTCAATACCACTCAGAATATTATTAAGAGTTCTCTGCAAAGATAATTTTACATTAATATTAAATTATATTTCCTAGATATTGCTTACCCAGCCATTGAATTTTCAGAAGAAGGATCACATATAGATGACTCTTCAGATTTTATGCTGGTTTTCTTTGTAGAGAGATCTAACACTCCATCCCCTATAATTTTTGCAAGAGAAAAAACTTTTATATTTGTAATAGATAGGCAATCCTTACATTTTATCATCCCATATCTTGTTGAATTCTAATTTATGACCTAAATATTAACACTTGTATTTGATATGTGGCCATTACCTATTTGTCTTAAATGGTTTTAGCAAGGACATGACTGGGAAGGCAGTACATAGGAAAGAAAGAGCAGAGAAGGAACTGGCATTGCCAGATGATTTGAAGAAAGTAACAGACAACATATATAATTGTTTTGTATGTGTTTGTGTGTGTGTAATCTCTTTGGAATCAACTCTAGAATCCCCTTTCCCACAATTTTGTAGTGAACAACTACTTGATTGCTGAATCATGACTGTTTTCCACTAAAGGCTTCCCAGATGGTATTTTGGGAAGGTGGGAGAAATGCAAGTTGTACAAAACAGAAACAACAGGAAATGTGATGAGTAAGAGAACTGAATAATTAGTACTTATTAGGATTAGCAATATATGGCATATATACATTAGGTAAACCATTGACTCTTTGAAGCCAATGTATGTGCAAGAACTCAGTGTAAAATTTGACTATTTTAAATTACTGAAATGTACAAAAGTTCAATCTTTGCTTATGTAATATGTTGTAGCTATACCTATGATTATATAAAGATATAACAATAACTTCAGGGAAAATAACCTGTTATAAAACAACTTCTTAAGTATTTGTTACTAAAATGCAGTTATTATTATTATTATTTAATACTGTATTAAAAATTCAATGATTCAGATATTGTTAAGCTGACATGCTTCTGGATCAAAAGAATAAACTATGCATTTGAAACTCAGTGATATACAATACTGTAAATGTGTTTCTACTGTTATAAGAAAATACATGTTTAAAAATATAGTAAATAATCTGAATGAGTTAAAAGAAATCAAACCAATTTTATTGTTACTGTATCAATTCATGTAATACTTAAGTGTTCCAGGGAAATAAAAAGATGAAAACATAAAAATAAAGCATCCTATCTATAATCTCCTTAGAACTGAATAATATTTTGAATGTTTATTTTATATATAGCTGTTTTAGACATCATGAGACCAACAGTTAAAATAAAAAAAATATTCATTTTCACGATTCTTAGCATCCAGTGAGATTGCTCATGCAATACTGCCACCTGCCAATTATGGTCGAGCCACTTAAGACAAAATGCAGAGTAAGCTGAGAAAAAAATGAATGTAGAGCTGAGGAGGCTGCTATTTTATAAAGTGTGATCATAAGTGCAGTTCTCTTTGTAAGATGAATAGAACAGAGGCTACTATGGCTGAAGTACAGTAATCCAGGGTAAGAATGAGATAACATCAGAAATTTAGGAAGAGGGTACACAGGGCCACTTGGGCAATTGTAAACCTTTCCATTTTATTCTGAGGCAGACAGGACACCAATGGACAGTTTTGAGCAGAAGACTGACATGATTTTAATTCATGTCTTTAAAGGATCAATCTGATGTGGGGAGAGTGGACTGTAAGGGTCTGAGGGTGCAGTAGGGAAACTTGCTAGGAAAATGCTATACTATTTCTCTTTTATGGATTTTTACTCTGTTGGTTTCCTCTGCCTAAGTGTCCTCTTCTTTCTGTCACTCGCACTCATCCCAATTCTCACCAAATTTTACTCATTATTCAAAGGCTCAGGACATAACTTGTACTTGGGTGATCATCATCCTTCTAGGTTCCTATACCAGCAACATTTACCTGCATTATTTAACAGTCAGCAGGTTGTATTCTATTTGCTTGTATACTTACCAGTGTTAACTGAGGACTATAAGATATGTAAATGCAGAGAACATGTATATTTTATTTTATCCCTTCTGCCTAGAATAGTACCTAGCATACAATAAATGTTCAATAAATATATGATGAATAGAAATTTGAACAACTCAAGGAAATTTGGTGTGCTTAGACTAGAAGGATAAAAAAGGAGACTGGAGAGCTACAACATACCTGGCATGTAGTACCTTTAAAAATTGTTCAAGTATCTTGCTCCACTTTATCAATACAACCTGATTTTATGCTTGGTGTTCAATTCATCTCAAATCTTATGCTTCTCATGTATCTAACCATAGCATGTTACTGAAAAATGCTGTGTGATGTCATGTTTTTCAAGTTGTAGTACACCTTCCCTTTGCCAAGAATGTTCTTTCCATTTATTCAACTTGCCAGACATCCTTGAAGATCCAGATACCCTCTAGAAGGAACTTATTATTGTTTCTCTGTGACAACAGCATCCTATAATATTTATAACACTATCATGTTCTTATTATGTATTTTTCTTTCCCATGACACGAAGTTCCTCAAGGTAAGAAATCTTATTCATTATACATTAATAGTTCTAGAACCTACTAAAAGAAGAAAAGTTGTCTTCTCTATATTTCATCATTTCTTTTGTTCTTCAGCAGTTAAAATTTGACTATTTAAAAGACTTATGAGAATATCTTTTTCAAAAACTATTACTGCCTCACCCATATTTGTATTTATTAACTTCGATTTTGTTCATGTTTTATGTACAACTTAAAGCATATAAAATACACTTATTCTACATCTAATTAATAGTTAAAATTTCATAATAAATTAACAAAATTTCCCCAGTTCTAAACTCTTCTACACTTTTGATACACTCAATTAAAATCTAATTATTTCCCAAAACAGAAATAATGAAAGAGGTACAGGGAACCCCTTCTTTCTCTTCTACATGCAAACTATGGAAAAGTTAGGTTTTAGCTTTCTAGCTAATATAATAAAAATTTCTTATTCTTTCTGAACCACTACCACACACAGCCCTGGTTAAAGCTCATTTTAATCTGGATAAGCCAGACATAAGCCTTGTTATGCTTTCCCTAGGAAGTCTAAATTATGTACCTGGTGAGCAATGCTTTCATCTTTTTTCCATAGCCCCTTCTCCATATTTAGGCTGCCCATGTTAAAAGTATTGTTCTAAAGATATTTGACAACGAAGCAATATATTGTCTGTATTTAGTATCGTCAAAAAAATAGTCACATTAAAATTCACAATAAGATTTTCAGAGTAAACACAAGATATGTAAATATATTATTCAATAGTTTTAATGTACATTAAGAATGTTTAGATAAATTTTAGTAATCTATAAAAAATCACTTTTATTACCAGTATATCACTTAATATGAAAGCATGTTGTCAATGTCATGTTTCCTTTTTCTACTTTCAAGCCTGCAAACTTAAGAGCTGAAAAAAATTAAGAAGTTCCCCCTAGGGCTTCTTAATTAGAAAAGTAAAAATCCTAAGGGAAGGAGAAAGACATTTTTGGGAAGAAGAATGGAAAATAAGAAAGATCAGCAATGGGGGCCAAAAGTATTTTCTTGCTCCTGCCGATGATTGATAATCTGTCTGGTGATTACATCTGTCAGCATCATACCTTTACAATGTAGATACCACATCATATCTACATTGGTTTTTTTCTTTTTTTTTGTGTGTGTATCTGGCTCATATATATTATATATATAAATTTATAATATATATATTATATTATAAATTTATATTATGTGTGTGTGTGTGTATATATATATATATAAATTTTTCCCCAAAACTATTGAGACTTAACTCCATGGACAAAAACTAAGCACTTACTATGCTCTTATAAGGAGACATAAACAAAAGGCAGAGGATAACTAGTTCATTCCCACCACTGTAATCTGTCTTCTTTTATTGCAATTTGTTTCCCATTCACCTGTTGGCAAGTATCTGAGTTGTTTTAATTTTTCACTGTTATGAACAATGATGAAATGAACATTTTTCTGAGTGTTTTCATATTATAAAAATTTATCATATATTAGATATATATCTAGAAATGAAAGTGCTATATAATGAAGCATGAACATTTTGAAATACAGTAGATATTTCCAAATTTCAGGATTAAGGAAGAAAAGTGCATGCTATTTATGTGAATATTTAAAGCACACAAAATTAATTTATGGATGCATAGATAGGTAGTATGAATGATTGCTTCCATGGATAAGTGAAAGGATATAAAGAGATCATAACTGTATTTCTAGAAATGCTTAGTTCTTGAAGGGTGAACAAATCAGAAGTCCATATGAGGGGCTGGGGTTGTAGCTCAGTGGTAGAGTACTTGCTCTGCATGTGTAAGGCACTAGGTTCAATCCTCAGCACCACATAAAAATAAAGATATTGTATCCATCTACAACTAAAATATTATATATATATATATATATATATATGTGTGTGTGTGTGTGTGTGTGTGTGTGTGTGTATAATTAAATATGATTAACAGATTTATTAATTCCAGGCAACAGGCATATGACTATTATGCTATACTTTTCAGTTGGTTTGAAAAATATATTTTTCATTAGGTTTTTCCTAATTAAAAAAAAACACATTTTATTTATTAGTTTCAAACTGGGCATTCAGTATCTCAATATACTTACTTCTGATCAAATGATACTAAAAAATATTCAGAATTAAAAGACAAGCCAATGTAATCTTTTAGCAAGGCCAAATAATTGTATATATATGTCTGACAGTAATCAGATATAACTTTAAAAATGGACTGGTATTTGAAAAATTGAAACCAGTGCCAAATTAAGTAATTTGAGTTTCAACAATTGGCTTTTTTTTTTGGGGGGGGGGTTAAAGTTTATTAACTGTTCTCTCTCTGTATTTTCATGCAAATTTCTGATAAAGAATCTATTCCAAAGAGGGCAACTACTAATACAGAACTCTCGTAATACAGAATTACTTCCCATTCCTCCAAGGACATCATCCTTTTCCACTGCTTTCTGAGTCTTTTATTCACTCTTCAAAGTTATGCTCTATGCTCTTCAAAGTTATGCTCTATGCTCCACTGGCCTGGCTAAAAACACATCTTTCAGCATCATATCCTCAAAGGTGATTTTTAATTCCTCCCTAGTTTTCTTTCACAATCTCAAGCATCCTATGTGTCTATCTATTCTATACTTAGTATAAT